TTGTGTGCTTAATTGTTTCGATTGAGAAAAGGGGTGGTGAACTTGGAACTCGGTTTTTGCCTTGTGTTGATTTGTAGCCCTTGAAACTTTTGAGGTTTGCTTAATGCCTAATTCCTGGAGGGAAATTGTTTTGTTGAACCCCAAACTTTGCCTTGTGGAAAATTTATCTAACCGAAAACCTTGGAGATTTTAAACCATGGAATTGAGAACTTTTTGACTGCACCTTGACCCGAACACCGACCCTGTCTGGATGTAGCCACGCGAAGTGGTGGTCGAGCACGCAAGCCCGTGCTGAGAGATGTGAGGCTACCGGCCGGGGCCAATCGTTGACTCGCACGTGAGCTGCAGCCACCATCACCGAACGCACGAACTCCCCAGTACAGTGTGTACGGTTGACCTTTGACATTGAAGCTTTCTTCAGAACCTTGAACCGAGAGCTCCAAGCTTCACTGAATCGTTGTGGGGTATTTCCCCTAGATAAATAAATTTCGACGAGCGAGACTTGTTGATTAGTTCCTATGCCATGGGTGAGATGTTCTCAAGTTGGCAAGTTGTGACTCCGCAATGTTGTCAAGCGATGTCACGAGTCTCGTTTGGAGACTATGATACTTCATAGGTTGAGACTATGAAGAGTGTGTTAGTGGACAAGTTTTCAGCGTGACCCGGTCATGGTACTAAAGCTTGATACCACGTGTTGACCCCTGTTGGGGGAGGTTTGTAGCATGATGGCAATACACTGGAAAGACTGTTTGGAGTCTTGTGTGTTGATAGATGCGTTGTGAGGAGTTGTACGGGCGTATGTTGAGAATGTCGCGGTACTGGATCGAGGTAGGTGATCCTGTATTCCTGTAGGATGCACCGAGGTAGGGTGTGATCCGTTCCAGGAAGAGGGGAAAACTCCAGCCGTGATTTGTAAGACCATGTGTGATACTCGAACGAGTCAGTGACCTAGTATACCGGTTGGCTTTACCACTAGTTTTGGCGGGGTTCACGACGTATTCCACGTGTGATGTTTCGTGAGAGCGTGCGTGACCCTGAGCATGTGGTGTGGACTTTAGCGAGTTGCGGGTCGAGTGAGACCTTACCTAGGTTGAGGTACCGGTGGCTATTTTGGACCGGAGGGTCATCAGCTGAGAAACCGGGCAGCTAGACTTGTCAAAGGTGCGATGGAGCCGGCATGGCGAGGATGAGGCGACTCGGGAGAGAGAGGCTGATATCCGGCGGAAGTATTCGAACTTTATGTTCTGAGTTCCCCTCGTATTTTATTGCTTTCTAGTTATATTTTCGAATTCCGAGGATGGAATTCTTTGTAAGGTGGATAGACTGTAATACCCCGTTTTATTGTGGATTAATTGAGAATAATTCCTGACTATTGTTATTATTAATTTCTTCATTATTATTATTATTATA